AAGCTAGCCAGTAGGGGATGAAACATCCAGATTTGTACTAGCTTGATTCCTCCATGTACTGTAACTCTCAAGGCTTAGAAATCATCACAAAAGAGGAGATGGAAACACTGTTAGAGCAGAGGTAGAGTTGTTGACAGCAACAATGTTTTCTGGACAGAAGGAGGCAGCTGTTGTACACATGAACTCACAGCTGCTGGGACAGGATGCACATAAGCCCGCCAGAAAACATCTGAGCATGGGTGGGTGAGAGCCATGAAATCCCTTCTTGGGGAGGAAGAACCTGTTTTCTTCAGGGGTGAAGTCTGAGAGGTTACCCCTGTTCCATGACGATCCCACACTCATGCACATGATGGCAACACTGAAGGGACTCAGTGGCTGACACACACACACACACACACACACACACACACACACACACACACACACACACACACAGTTAGAAGGGAATCACAGTGTGGGAAATAGGAAAAGAATGAAGGGTGGGGTGGACTTGATATTTTACTTTTTTAAAGCTAAAATGAAATTAAAACTGAATCGTTCTGAAGCAATAAATACACAAATGCATTGACAGAGATAGCTGAGTGGACTACTGGGTGTAGCAGCCTGTTTTGAGCCTGGTCACTGGTGGCATGTCTCTAAAGTGTGTGTATTGTCTCTGGCCACTCCCCCACCCCTCTCTCACTCTTCCTTCCCAGCTGCCTTGGCTTCCTATGATGGTCTCCCTACCACAACCTGGGGGCAACGGGGACAACTGACCATGGACCGAAACCTCCGGGCCAAAGAAATGTTAAGTTGTTTTCCTCAGGTAGTTTACCAGTGACAAAAGGCTGAAAATGCAGATTTAAATGCCCAGCTTCACTGTAAATAAAAAGGAAACCTTTGGTATGGCAGAATCTGTTTGGCAATAAGGTGCCAGGGACCCTCAGACGTCTCAGCAGTGGGGTGCATGGAACAGCAGGAGAGATGGCGGTTTCCAAGTCACTTACATTCAAGCTGGATTATGTCACTGAGCTAAGTGACAAAAGGGACATCTGAGAGGAGCCCACTGCAGGGAACTCAAATTCAAGGAAACGGAGGCCCAGCAATTAAGAAGAATTTAGGTGCCACGGGGTAGCACCAAGAAGTCATGTCCCTTGTCCCTCCAAGATACTAAGGAGCAAGGGCAGATATGTTTGCATGAGGAGAGAAACTCCATTACTCTTCAAATGAAAGGTGATGTCAATAACGTGCTGACATGGACAAGGACAAGGACACAGCTGAAGCTTCAAAAGCAAAGAAACCAAGTGAAAGACTGTGACTATTCTTCCTTTGTATTTCCTTAGTGTGTGCATGTGAATACACCATGCACTTGGAAAGCAGAAGACATTTTAGGGGGTTGGCTCTCTCTGCCCACCATGTCCTCAGGCTTGACAGTAAATGCCTTTACCGTCACAGTCATCTGAGTATATAATGTATACTCTAGATAGGAAACGTTAATACATTTGCTATGTCCCTTATCTACCAAGGACTGGGAGTTCGAGACACAGGGAACAGAAACCAGCTGCCTTTATCTGGCCATTTCACATAATAAAGCAAAGTTAAGGACCGAACTCAACAGTAAGTTGTGTTTGTCAAGTATCTTTTTCTGCCAATTATTTTATACTTTAGAGGATTGTAGCATTTTGTTCCTCTCTTTAAAATCTATCATTTTGTTGGTTATTTTTAAAATTCAATGTCCTATAACACATCGCTATCACCATTGTTTTTTAAATGAATTTTCTTATATTATCTCAAATTTGTTCCTTTAAGTCAACTCTGTCCCATCAGTCTTGGGACCTGTCTCTCTTTTCTGCCTGGTGGAGACACTTTCAGGCTTACTTATGCGTCATCTGTTTCCGATCTGGAACCAGTTCCCTAAATGTTCCCAGCTGTGTGGAAAAGCACTTAGGAATGGAGATCAAAGGGAAGCAGGTGTACTGAGGATTAGCAGGTTATGGCTGCCAGGCCCTTTCAGAGGAGCAAGTTGGTGGGGCTGGCGGCCACTCTTGAAAATGCATCCACATGTTCACACAAATGCTTCCAGTTCAAAACCACGAAGTAGCAAAGGGCCCAACTTTGCCTTCTTCTGTCACATGTCTCTTTTGTACCATAATGGTGTCAGATTTACAATACTGGTAAATTTATTCACCTTCAATACTAGAAAGTCATTTCAGGGATGCACTAGTCTCTACAGTGTCATCTTGAGGCAATCACAACATTCCATACAAATCACACACAAGCTAAGAAGAGTCCGCAACATTATCTCTAAACACATTTCATGTTGAGGGACCCAATGGTCCTCCAGAAGCTGCACCTACAGGCTAAGAAGGCAAACAGAAATCATGGAGACCGTGTACAGATCAAACCCTGAGTTGCCGCCATACTTTCCTTTGGTTGCCTTTTACACTCTATATAGAGTACCGCCTTGGTACTCTATAGAGCACCAACAGGGCACAGGAACAGGCAACTTTCACTTTTCCTGAAAAGACCACTTAAGCTCTTTGCCTTTTCTAAACGTGTCATCTTTGCTGTTTGTTTTGTTTCAACACAGTCAGTGGGGAATGGAGGAAAGAAATGAGAAGGAAAATGGTAGTGGTTGTAGGTTGACACTGTAGTTGTGTGTCCACCACCGTTGCTCTTTATGCTTCATAAAGGCTCTACTTATAGGAATATTAAATTTTTGTTATGAAAGATTTTCAGTGTACTGACCATTTACAACAAATGGCCAGCCCCAACTCAAATAAGAGGGAATTAAGTCACTGTTGTATTATGTTATTGCTTGCTAGCCCGTTTTAAAAACTTTGTCAAAGCAGGAACTGGGGGAGATCGCATTGAAGTGACAAGTTTGAGCCACAGAACCCATAGTTTTGGTTTGTTGGTTTTGTTTTGTTTTGTTTTGAAGCTGAGTATGGTGGTGACCCCAGTTCTGGGAAGGTGAGGAAATAGCCAGACAACCTTGCCTGCTTCCTGAGCTCCAGACCAGTGATAGATCAGGTCTGAAGACAGACACAGACAGACAGACAGACAGACAGCTACAAGCAAAGACCAGTCAAAGTAACAACATATTTTGTGTTAAACTTACGGTTCTAAGCTACTAAAGACTAATAGCTAGATCACCCAGTCTATGTTTACTGCTTGTAAAAAATGATTAATTTAGCTCATGGTTCTGGAGTCTAGATGGACCAAAAGCATGCTGCTAGGATCTGGTGAGAGCCTAACTTTACACAGCAGAGCGCATCACATGGCAAGCTGGAGCAAGAATGACAGTTCAGGTCTCTCTCTTACTATGATAGAGCCAAGAAAGCCACCCTCTTGCCCCACTCTCATGACTTCATTTAAACCTAATTACCCAATGCCCTCCCCCCCAAAAAAAACATCATCACAGGAATGTTATGTTTCTAACACAGCTTCTGGAGGGACATAGTCATCTACAACACTCGAATAAACACAACTATCCGTTACAGAATCACTTCAATTCGATTCAACCTTTAATTCTGTCACATAGTTTGCCAATGGATACTGGATAATTAAACTTGTCTTATTATTTAGCTTTTGATGTTCTATATTTGTCTTGGATTCAGTGGTTTCAATTGCTTTCTTAGTCCAGTGTGAGACCCCAGCTTGAATTGTCATCTGTCACAACCAGATCTCCTGTGACACAAGGCAGTTTAATGCAACGAATGCATTAAGTGAGCCCAAAATTTGCAAGAAACCAATCACACAAAAGATAAAAACAGAACATAAGACCAGAATCTGCCTGTTGAGAAGTCTTTTTCTACAAGGAGCTGAACTTTGTGAAAATTCTTACGTGTAGCTATGGAATAAAAAGGACTAAAATTGACACTGTGGATGAGGGGTCTTCTGTCTTGTAATTCTGTTTTTCTCCAGTTCATTCTGTCAAAATCAGAAAGGGACTAGGAAAATGAAGAACTACAATTGCAGGATGAAAGTCTATGGAGAGGGTGGATTCTTTTTGTTTGTTTGTTTGTTGTTTGTTTTCCAGACAGGGCTTCTCTCTGTAGCTTTGGAGCCTGTCCTGGGACTCCATCTGTAGACAAGGCTTGGCTCAAACTCACAGAGATCCACCTGCCTCTGCCTCTGCCTCCTGAGTGCTGGGATTAATGGTGTGTGCCACCGCCGTCCATGGAGGGTGGATTCCTGATCTGAAACCTCTCCTGGGAGGAGGAACAGGAAGAAAAGGAAGACACTGCATTTCAATAAGAGTGGGCAAGAGTCTAAGATGAGAAAAAGCTTGCTGACTGGAGGCAAAAACTGACCTGGAAACAGACCACACTAGTTTTCTTGTACACTGTTGCCATGGCAACACGCAATAGCAAACACCATGTCCAGGGGGTGCTGCTATCTCAGCGGCAGCATTACTCTTACTGCAAACCCTTCATTCTCTTGAACAGAGTTCCTTTGAAAAGTCCTGTCGGCAGCTGTCTTGGATACATGACTCCTCGGACACACGGAGCTGCTGCTGCTCTGGTTTTTGCCTCATCTTACCACACTGGACACAGCAAAGGAGACCTGTCAAGCTGGTCCCCAGGGAACTCACAACAACATACTCCAGGGACCACATTTACAGAAGGACGCCTTCTTTTGCTTTAGGAGAAGAAAAATTGCTCACTTTTGCCACGGTTTCAGAAAGAGGCCAAGATTAGGATGCAGTTAAGCCCCCTTCCAGAAATCCCAGGTACAAGCTAACAAGGCAAAGAGAGCAGCTTTACTAGCTCATCCTGAGGTTGAAGCATTGCACTTGTTAAAAGTGATTTTATCTTTTCTGTTCACATATATTTCATTCAAATCTCAAAACAGTAAATATTAGAAAGCGTTGACAAAAATCCCCTACAGAAGTCTCCAAGATTCCAAATGTCTTGTTCATCACTTCAGCCATCTTTTCTGCCAACCCCTAAAGATATTGAATCAAAAAACCAAAAAACCAAAGTGGATACCAAGCAGCAGGAAGAATTTCAGATTGGTTTCTGTCAAAGACAAATTTTAATATAAAATGGATACAAGCAATTTAATCTATGATAACTACCATGACTGCAAAATGTGTACATGACCATGACTGAAATGCCCACGCCCTGTATCCAGTGAGGCAACAGCTTAGGGAAATGGTGCCTCACACATGGCACATAAACACACCGTGGACAAGAGGCACACTGGGGATGACCAGTGATCACTCCTGTTCACAGCCACCTAGGCTAGGACACCCCCTATCTGTTGTACTTAGTTGAGGAACAGCAAATATACGTGAGACACTCCCATATACCCATCACCCTGATGAGGTGACTAAAATCACATGCACCTTAACTTCCATCCCCATCCGGCCTTCAGCTCAGGAGTGGCCTGTGTTGAAATAATGCAGCCCTTGGGAGTGTTGTTAAAGGAGACAGTGCCAAGGGCAGGTTCAGAGGACGTCCTAAATTTTATCACATATTGAGACACTTTGCACATTGTTTGCAGTCACAAAACTTTATTTTAAACTAACTGTTAACCCAAAGATTGAAGTTCAAAAACTAAAAATGAAACAAAGAATATAAACAGCCCCAGCTGTGCATATGCTGGTCGTTCCAGTGGCTGAAGACCACCTCCACTGATGGCAAACAGGGCAGCGCTGGACGAGGGGGAAATTAAAGCACCTTGCGCTATTGTGAAAATTGGTTATCTTCCCTAGGACCCGGTCTGTGACGATCCCATTTGATGGGCCTCTGGTCTAAGCTACCACAGTACTACCTAGTAGTCTTCACTCATCTCAGAATTACTAAATAAAAAGGTGAGCTGCTCACTGGGACAGTGCCTGTCAGTGGTAACTCAGCAATGACTTGTTAAGTGATAATCCATTTTATCTCCACTTGTTACTCTCCTGTCTCCAAAACTCATAAAACAGTCTTGATCAAACCCGACTGTGAACTTACTTCAAACAGGAGTAGCAGAAAAGTTAACACAGGCTTAAGCCAAAAGTTCTTCAGCATCTTAAGGTCACATCTGGGCCATGATAAATTACCTAGTTATCTACACAAACTCTACCACACAGCCTAGTCTTGAGGAAAATGGGGACAACGGGGAAAGGAGAAACACACTAAGTAACACACTGAATGCCACTCCTGCCATGATTCCTGGCCACACTGGGTTTTATTTTTTGCCTTGTTTCACTTTTCCTTGGTCATCCACTTTCTTAATGGCTGCCTGGATGGCCTCCTGGTCACCCAGGAACTGGTGAGATCCAACAGCACGCAGGTTCTCGTCCAACTCCAGCAGAATTGGCACTCCGGTAGGAAGAGTGATGTTGATAATATCGTCGTCTGAGATACCTGTGGGCAGGAGAGAAGAAACAGGGTCAACAGACGAACCTGGAGAAATACTACCTTAACGTCTGAGTGCACACTGAACTTGTCCCATAATAACTACGTGCCTAAAGCCATGCCAAAAAACACAAGGGGGTCCCACCTACGGTTCTAGAACACCAAGAAACAACAGAAAACAAAGCTTAGACAGTGCTATGTCTGAGAATTGTATGTCCCTTCTGGAGCAACTTGTTCCTGGCTGTTTCTTATCTAAAACTGGCAGAAAACAAAACCGTCTGAATGCTAGTCTTAAGATAAGGGCTTTTCTTTCATTAAGCATGGAATTTAATTCACACTTGATTAGAATGTGGTTGGTTTTCCAGTACTTATGAGTTTGGGCTAAACCTAGTGAAACAGGACTTCTCTCAGAGAGAGCCAGGAAGCACAGCCAAGAGGGATCAGGAAAGAACTCTAGAGAACGCCTCAAACAAGGCCTCTATCTTCTACTGCTAAGGAAGGAGGGCATGTGTATCGGACAGGTCACCTTTAATTCTTGAATGTAATTCACCTTTGTCTACAGGAGTCGGAATGGCAGAAGTGGGCACGCACAATCACCAGTAACTCCAACACCTCTGGCCTCCCTCAACACCCATATTCCTGGGGCCTGGGGCCTAAGTCCAGAGGCAGTGCTCACCTACAATGCACTAGACCCGGGACTCAAGCCTCAGCACTACCAAAAAAAAAAAAAAAATCACTTATAAAAGTAAGATCGTCATAAAAAAACATAAAACAAGAACAACATAATGAAATAACAGGCAAAATATCCGACATTTCTCCAAACATAGACTGTCACAAAGCCCTGGAGAAGATGGCTAGCATCCTTAAGTCTTCCTGGAAATGCAAATCCAAGCCACAAGGAGCTACCAGTCTGGGTCAATGAGATGACTACAGAAAAAGTCATATATAAATAAGCGTTTTCACAAAGGCAGAGAATTTTAACACAGTATAAAGTCAGGATGTCAGAAGGCTGTAGCCTCTTTGGAACAGTTTGGAAAATCCTCAGGCATTTGCAGAGAAATACTGCTTATGTCCATATCAAAAGTTATATATAACACCTCATAGCAGCACTATTGTGAAGAGCCAAAGCAACCATCAACCAATGAGCCAATATGTGATCTAAGTACTGATATATGCTACAATATGGATAAGCCTTGCAAACATGATAGTGGGAATATAGCTTTTAGTAGTGTCTGCATGGAACCCATGGCCTTGGGTTCGGTTCCAAACAATAGTTTTTTTTTGTTTTTGTTTTTGTTTTTTTTAAGTGGTCACAAAAGACTACTTGTAGAAATCCATTAAAAGATAATGTTCAGCGCAGACAAATCCATAATTACACAAAGTGGATTAACTGATGCCCAAGGCTGGAAAACGAAAAGTATATATCTACATTTAAATCAAGTTAAACATACTGACTGCCTTACATTATTTCTTACAGTGAAAACATTTAAAACCCTTTCTTTTAATTTTCTGAGCGATCTAGAATATAACAGCTACTGTTGTTGAAAGGTTCAAGCTTTAATGCTGATCCACTCTACCTCTTTAAGAGACAGACCCCGCCCCCTGACAACAGTAAGGGCACGCACAGGAAAACATGCTACATCATCACCACGTCACCCGCCATGCATTACGGCCTGCGTGAGGACTCTGGGCATACATGGAACCTCAGTGTGCATGCGCAGTCTTCCCTTTAAAAGTTCCAACTTCCCTGCTTCGCTCTCTCTCTGCTTCTGCTCTTCTCTCTGTCTCTTCTCTCTGCCTCTCTATGGCTACCGGCCATGGCAGTCAGCCATTAGCCATGTTCCTCTTCCTTCTTAGGCTCTCTCTGTTTCTTCTTCGCTCTGCTCTTCTGCTCTTCTCCCACCTATGTGATCTCTCTGCCTCTCTATGGCGACCGGCCATGGCTGTCAGCCATTAACTCTGTTTCTCTTCTCTCTTAGTCTCCCTACTCTGCCGGGCCATATAATAAACTAGTTAACATGTCTCATCTTGCACCTTCCTCCTCCTCTTTTTCTTTATATCTAATTTAAACAAAAACATAACAGTTGTTCTACCATGCAACAATACCACAGAACTTACACTGCTACAACTGTACTTAGTACCCCTTGATCAATGTTGTCCCTACTCTTTCCTTCTAAAACTAATTATGTTGCTGAATTGATGATTGTGACACAGTCAGCCCTTCGTGTCCACTGGATTCTCACACATGGATTCAATCAGCCACAGATGGCAAATATTTGGAAACAAATGATTCTGTACCAAAGGATCTAAACCTCCCCCCTTGTCATTCCCTAAACATCAGAGTAGAACAACCATTCACACAGTTCTAGGTGTCACAATGCCACTGAGGAGTGAGGGACAGTGTACACAAGTACCATGTCATCTTACTTACGTTAGGGACCTGAACATCTACCTACAGATTTTGGTAACTGCATGGTTGTCTGGAACCAGTCCTCTATAGTTACTTAAGGACAGTTATACATGAAAAGCACTATAACACTCAGTTACATGTGGATTATAGCTCAGTAAAGCTGTTAAAAATACCAAGCAGATCCCTAAAGACTAAATGAGCCTGTTCACATCACAAGACTATTAAGGCTATAAAAAAGAACTGTTCTTATACTTAGTACTTAAACCCTGGTCATCCGCCTTGTTCACTGTTGTTTCCAACAGAGAATGTTTTGGGTTTTGCTTTGCTCTGATGAAAGGCTCGGTACTACCTGGACATCAGTCCCAGTGTTGTCACTGGAAAAGGGGAAGAACAGGTTTGCCTGAGCTTAAAAGAGCTAAACACAAGGAGCACATGGGCCAGGTTTAGAGGTCACTTTTGTGATCTTACAAACGAGTTCTAGGTTTTCAGCGGGTAGCTAGAGCACACCACATGGGACTAAATGGTATGACTTAGATGCAACTGGATCCAGCAGGCTGAGTCCTTGGCCAGAGCTTAAGTAGTTAATGACTCATTTTTGTGTGAGTCCACTAAACAAAGGCCCCTAGACTATAGTATGTCACTAACAAAAACAAAGCTTTAAGAAAAATGAAGTGTTTCCAATGAAGTTAACATTGTATTTTAATAACTCCTCAACCCATTCACATAGTAAACTAATTACTTACAAATACTTAAAATACTTAGACTGGTTAATAATCAGCCAATGAGACTTAAACAGCTGATATTTTAAAATAGCAAATTAAGAAAAACCACAGGGAAGCCATTACTTGTTACTAAAACTTGGCATAAACTAAATGCGTCTTCCCAAGAAAGCTCAGTAAACAGAGTTCCTGAAGCTAGAACAGTGCAGCTGCACTGCATGAAAACAAACTAAACTAGCACAAAAGACACCTTAAATTATACTATCAAAGATTCACTCACTGGGACAGCAAACAGAAGTTCAAATATGTAGCCAGATATTACATCCCCTATTTGGTAACTAGCTCAAGGTTTGATTTTTCTTTTTAAGTTTTTATTTAGTCAATTATTTTTTAATTACAAGGTCTCATGTAGCCTGGGCTGGTCTTGACCTCACCGTATAGCTGAGGATGACTCAATTTCTGATTCTCCTGTTTCCACCTCCCAAGTGCTGTGACTACAAGCCTGCACACCACCACACCCAGTCACACTCTAGCCAAGTACTACACCAACTGAGCTACACACCCAATCTCTAGCTCACGTTTAATAGAGTCCAAGAATGTTTTACTGGAAAAGGCACCAAGTCCTTACTCTCTATCTACCTTCTTTCCATCACACTCCTGGAGCCATCACTTCATGTTATATACTTGGTGTCTTTAGCATTTAAGAAAGTAGCACAGGCTTGCCTTGAAGTTGAGATTTCTACTCCAGCTTCTGGAGGGCTGTGATTACAGCCAGGCAAGCACCAAAATATACCTACACATCACCTCAACAATACCTCTACAATACCTACACATCACCTCAACAGTACCTCTACAATACCCCCACCCATACAAAACCTCTACAATACCCCCACCCATACAAAACCTCAACAATACCCCCACCCATACAAAACCTCAACAATACCCCCACCCATACAAAACCTCAACAATACCCCCACCATCACCTCAACAATACCAACTACACCATCACTGCAACTAGTTGAAATGAGTAAAGTATGTCAAATAAGAACTAACAGTTTAGGAGAAATGAAGGGAGTAAATCCATACCAAAAGTGGAAATTTTAAACAAACTTACATTCTGCACACAGGAGTAACTTCAGGATGTCAATTCTGCACCTGCACGCACCCCTTCTAAGTCACTGTAGCTGATGGGAACTCTGACTGCAAGGCTCCACTCCCTACCTTCTGGGAGAAGTGCTTGAACAAGTCTGGCTTCTGCCAGGAGTTCTGTGAGAACTCTGCTCTATCTGTTCGTCTGTGAGTCCAGCTCTCCAGACTGTGCCTCACTGCAAGAACACAGTCCATGTCTGCCCATCTGAGCGCAGCACTTTCAGGGGCTGCCTGCTAGGATGCAGAAACTATTTAGACATACCGTCTATCAATTACATCAACTGTATCACAGTGGATTTACTATGACTGTACTTTTTACATGGGACTGAAGGTTATAAGAAACAAAGGTTAATGATGCTGCAGCGTAAAGCTTTTGCATCAGAGTACTCCAAGGAAGGTCCTGTTGGACGTGCATTTTTGGTGAAATTACTTAAACATTAGAAGGAACACATAAGATCCACAGCGGGCATGGCCTTGTGTGTCGCTCATTCATGTGTACTCCAGCCCCTGGCCAAGAGCAGGACTTGGATCACTGGCCCTAGGCATACAGTTGAATTGAATGAATTCTAACTTTCTTGGCTTTCAAGTTAAGTCTAGTCTTTACTATTGAAGTCCTGATTAAAGACTGGACTGTTTTTATTATGAACTGAACAAGAAAAGGGATGGGGGGGACGGGCAAGCTGGGGGCAGTTAGCCAGTTCTTAGCCTGGAACAAAAAGTTGTTTATACCC